ACAGCTTCCCACGCTGTCTATCGCATAAATTCACTGCACACACACGCACGCATACACACACACGCATACACACGCATACACACACGCACACATACACACACACACACACACGCATACACACACACATTAGGCTGAGGGCGAGCGCAAGCAAGAGGCTGCAAAGATCAACCTTGGACTGCTTGCGCTGAAGCGATGCATTGGCGCGCTTCAGTCCAACGATCCGAGCCACGTTCCGTTTGGTGACTCCACCCTGACCATGCTGCTGCGCCCAGCCCTCAGTGGCAACTCGTTCACCACCGTCGTCGTCACGGGCAGCATGGAGTCTCGCCACGTATTCGAAACGATGCAGGTTCGATGAGAATGCAACACTGCCAATGACCATTGCCGTGTGCGTTTACGCACATGCGCGCGTGTGTATGTGCCATTGGCCAACGATGTGCATCTGCATTTGTGTGCATCATGCACACATGAACACACACACACACACACACACACACACACACACACACATACACACACACACGTACGCCCAGCTTCAGTGAACGTGCTTACACCCACCACTTGTGCCTCACGCGATCACCAACCCCTCCCTGCCTCCCTCCAGACAATGCGGTTTGGCGAGGCGTGCCAGGCTGTGACGGGTTCCGAGGTGACGGCGAACGTCAACGCAGCAACACAGGCAATCGATGCAATCAACAAGGAAATCACAGACTTGGAACAGGTGCGCGTGTGTGCGTGTATTGTGAAGTCTTGTGTTTTCAATTTGTCCCACCATCTTCTTCATTGCTGTCATCAGATCAAAGCTATCTTCGCCCATCAACTCACTCACAAATAACACACACACACACACACACACACACACACACACACACACACACACACACACACACACAACACAGCGCATCCGAAGTGAGGAGCGGTGGGTGAACAAGACGACTGTGCGAAAGGACCAGGAGGGCGAGGAGACAGTGGTGACGTCCGTGCTCGTGGGCGCAGAGGAGCTCCGTGAGCGATATGAACAGCTGTTGGAGACGCGTCGTGAACTGCTCGGTATCTGATCAGCGCAGCGTTTGCGCTCTTTGGTGTTGATTTACACGTGCACGTGCACGCTTGCATGGACAGAGAAGCACATGAGCAGGCACCTCCTCGGCCTTGTGCGTGGGGTGGTCTGCGCTGCTGTGTTGTTGTTGTTGTTGTTGTTGTGGTTGTTTAAGTTGTTGTTTAAGTTGTTGTTGTTGTTGTTGTTGTTGTTGTTGTTGTTGTTGTTGTTGTTGTTGTTTAAGTTGTTGTTAAGTTGTTGTTGTTTAAGTTGTTGTTAAGTTGTTGTTGTTTAAGTTGTTGTTAAGTTGTTGTTGTTTAAGTTGTTGTTGTTGTTTTATGTTCGTTACAGTTGATTAAATTCAAGTGCAATCATCACGCGAAGGAAACAGCCCCACCGGCTGCAACAGAGATGTGGCACACGTTTTATGTTCGTTACAGTTGATTAAATTCAAGTGCAATCATCACGCGAAGGAAACAGCCCCACCTGTTCAGAACGAGAGGCTGCTTTCTGTTTCTTGCATGCGGAATGGCTGCTTGATCTTCAGGACGTTGCACACCTACAGATGATCAGTGATGAACACACAAGACAAACCCCATCAAGGGGGTGGTCACTGAACCGTGCTCGCAACGATCTACACCTGGAGCAAACATACACATACGGCATGCATACGGCAACACACACCGCGGGCATTCTAGTGTGCGCTTAAGCGAACATACCATTGTGTAGGCGGTGCGCATATCTGAGAGCGCGGCGTCTAGGGTCTCGTCGCCAGCCGACAGTCTCTGTATTCTGTCCACCGCTGCTTTCAATTTGTCTGCGTGAGCTTGAAACCTGACCAGAGTAGCATGCGATGCCGCAGAAGCACAGCAAGAAGGGATAGCCGAGAGGCAAACGAAGGGGTGTTAGAGAAGGTGGATCGAAGTGAAGAGCGACCGCAACAAAGGGGGAAGCAATAGGGGCACGGTAACAAAAAGGGAGGAGGTGATCCAAGCTCATAAACACACACACACACACACACACACACACACACACACACACACACACACACACACACACACACACACACACACACACACACACACACACACACACACACACACACACACACACACACACACCGCTTCGTGGAGCAAATGTCTGGGCGTTGTGCGGTCCATTGCTCGATGGAGGAGAGGTAGAAGCCAATCTGTTCGTTTGTGCCAGGTTCAGAGACGTGAAAAAACCCAGTCGCGGGAAAGGCAACAAGATGGCTGCTGAGGGTAGACAGTTGCGGCCTGGAGGAACATACACATGGCCATGGCAAGGCACGGCATGGGCAACGAACAAGTTCTTCGCATGCGTATGTTTGTGTGCACACGCGCACTGCACGCGACCATAGTACCTCCATGCCAAGGGAGAACCCCGTCTGAATGCCGGCATGCCTGCCTTCCACAAAGCCTTGGCTTCTTCCGACCGCCGTGCCCTGCTCGTGCGCGTCCTGTGCCGGCGACACCTCCAGCGCCTCCACAGCATCAAACAGATCGTCCATCGCTGCTGGTCGTCTTGTTCAACCGACAACGTGCAGCCGAAATTCGGTGAATGGTTTCCACGTTTCTTCCGAACTTTGCTTGTAATTCACAGCGAGAGTGTGCTGCTGTCTGTGAGCGGTTGTGGTTGTTCTGCTTGAGAACGAGCGAGCGAGCGACAGCCCCCAGCAGTCAGTCTCCTTTGGTTGGTTTGTCAAGACAGCAAGCCAGCACAAACAGACGGCCATGAGCAGTGCACCAAAGCGGCCCAAGCTACAGGGTGTGAAAGCGAAGGACAAGGCTGGCAAAGCCGCGCCTGCGCAGGAGGGCGGTAGTGTGCGGGAGAAGATCTTGGATTTTTTGAAACAGCAGAATGGCGAGGCTCTCTCTGGCAAGGACATTGCCACGGGCGTTGGTGCAGACATCAAGACAGTCCTGGTGGAAGCACAGGCACTCACAGATGAGGTGTGTGTGCGTATGTGTGGTGTGTGTGTGTGTGCGTATGGGTGTGAGTGAGAGAGAGAGAGTGTGTGTGTGTGCGCGTGTGCGTATGTGTGTGTGTGTGTGGTGCGTGTGAGTGTGCGAGTGGGGTGTTTGTGCATATGTGCGTACGAGTGCATGTGTTGTGGGTGGGACTGCGCGTTGCGGGTCTGTGCACGTGTGCTGCTTTGTGTTGTGTTTTGACAGATGCTCTTCTGTGTACTCGCTCATAACCCAGGCTGCGTGCGCTTGCTCCTTGTGTGACACTTGTAGGGCAAGATTGAGCTGCTCACACCGGCTGTGAACGGCAAGACAAAGATTTTGTTTCAACTCGGCACAGAACTCTCACAACGGTGTGTGCGTTGAGGTGGGCCTGTGCATGCCCAGCTTCAGCTGGTGTGGGCTTTTGTGAAACAGACATTTCACACTGCATAGACCCATACACACAATCTTTTGCTCGAGCCTGCAAGTTTTGTGCCAAACACACCAACCCCGTTGCTCAAGCACATTGATGCACGTTGTCTGTGTGTTCGTGACACATTGCAGGGTAGCAAAGCTGGAGCCAGATGAGCGTGCCATCTACTCGGCGGTGGAGGCCGCGGGAACAGCAGGTGTGTCTGAATGCTGCGTTTTTGTTGTTGTTGTTGTTGTTGTTGTTGTTGTTGTTGTTGTTGTTGTTGTTGTTGTTGTTGTTGTTGTTGTTGTTGTTGTTGTGTTGTTGTTGTTGTTGTTGTTGTTGTTGTTGTTGTTGTTGTTGTTGTTGTTGTTGTTGTTGTTGCTGTTGTTGTTGTTGTTGTTGTTGTTGTTGTGGCCTTTGTTGTGATGAGCGCGTGCACGCGGTGGCAAGCCTGCGTCGTCTGTGTTACTGTCACGTTCATACTCAACCACACATGCGCGTTCACACGCACTCGTGAACATATTTTCACACACATGTATGCACACGTTCACGAGAACATATTCACACGTGAACATATGCACACGTACATGCAAACACACAACGCACACGTACATGCAAACACACAACCCTCTCCCCCCCCCTCCCCCGCTTTGCTTCGTGTTGTCAACACTGCAGGCATCTGGAATGCGCGGTTCAAGTCGCTGATACCCGACAGGAAGCGGCTGAAGCGCGTGCTGCAGCAACTCACGCGGGACAACCTGATCAAGGAGTTCAAGCCCGTCAACAACTCGAAGAAGCCGCACTACATCCTGTACGACCTGGAGCCGGACGAGTCTGTCAGCGGGGGTGTGTTCTACGACGGCGACGAGTTTGACCGCGAGTTTATCAACAACCTGCGCATGGTGATTCTGCTGTTTCTGAAGAAGCGCTTCAAGGAAGCGGCGAAGGAGGAAAATCCCTACCTCCGCTTCAAGCACAGCTACATCACCCCAGATGAGGTGCGTGGGTTGAGAGGATGGGGGTCGGGAGGGAATGGTGTGCACGTTTATGTGTATGTGTACATGTGTGTTTGCGTGTGTGTATGTGTGTGTGTCTGTCTGTCTGCACTTGTGCGTGTGCATGTGCCAGTGTGACAATCACTGCCTCATGTTCTCTCCTTCCAATGCATGAATGTGCTCGTGGTCGTGAAGATTGCCAGCAAGCTCAATGCTTCCAAAGTGATCAAGATCACACTCTCCCCAGCCGATTGCGAGAAGGTCCGTGACGTGTGTGTCTGTGTGTATGTGTGTTTGTGTGCATGTGTGTATGTGAACACTGTGTGCTTGCCGCGTGTATGTGATACCGGACAAACGTCGACTGCGACTTATGGTTACAATTGGCTTGTCGTGCTTTGTACAGGTGCTGAGCACGCTTGTTACGGATCGCCTTGTCATTGCAAACGACCCTTTGTCATCCATCAAAGCATATAGGGTACGTATGAGTGTGTGTGTTTGTGTGCGTGTGTGCGTGCGCACGTAAGTGTCAGGCAAGGCTCCTTCTTTGCTTCCCGACTTTGCCCGTTGTTGTGTGCATTCACCCCTCAATCTTCACCCCTCCATCTTCACCCCCCCCCCATACCCACGTGTGCAGTTTTCGAAGCTGGACCGGCACCCGTCTGCGCTGAGCGCGGTGCCGTGTGGCATCTGCCCCGTCCGCCACAACTGCACCCTCGACGGTGTCGTGAACCCCGTTGGCTGCAAGTACCTCGATGAATGGCTGGCGTTCTAGCAGGGTCGTGCCTGCTGCTGATAGCGTGTAGACATAACTAAACACAAAGTGACGACAGGACAGACGGCCAAAGCGAAGGGGATGAGGATGAGAGTGCTGGAACACACGCACACACACTCGCACACAGGTTCAAGAGACCCATACACAGACTCTACGTTTCTTTCATTCAATGGTGGTCGGGTTGGAGTCAGACGGCTGACGCGCAAGTCGTAACAGTTGGGGCCGCGCGTTTCAACAACGACGTATGTGGTCGTTCAGCGAGCACCACTCCTCATCCTCCAAAAAGAACCAGAAGGTTCATTCCTTGCAATTTAAGAGAAACACGATTTCATATATCTTCTCTGTCCAGTTTGCACACTTGTGGGTTTTTCAGCAGGAACAATTTTGTAAGGAATTTTTTTTGTGAGTTGATTGCTGGCTCACACCAGCCCTTTCTCACCCTGAACTGCAGGTTGTGCCTTGCACAATCACTCACGTCTGGTGTGCGGTGTGCCACGTGTCATGTGCTATGTATTACTTCATTTCAAAGAGGCGTACAAAACGACAATATTCCAATCATTCAGTTGCCACCTCATCACCACCATCATCATCATCATCATCATCATCATCATCATCATCATCATCATCATCCTATCTTCAGTTCGCTAGACCCTCTGCCCCATCAAGTATGCCACAGTGGCCATTCGCTGCGGCGTTAAGACTGCTTCTCGCTGCGGGAGGAAAAGTTCTTCTCTCGCACCTCAGCCCAGAACTGCCCCCAGTCGCTCCTTGCATTGCCCCATGCCACTGCCAGCGGCGCGCTCGTCTCCGATGGCACACGCGGCAGCCGCAGCGCCCGCCGCAACCCAGGGTGCCTGCTCATCGCCAGGGCAGGCGTGTGGTGTGTGTGTGTGTGTGTGTGTGTGTGTGTGTGTATTTGTGTGTGTGTGTGTGTGTGTGTGTGTGTGTGTGTGTGTGTCAGTGTGTGTGTGTGTGTCAGTGTGTGCGCACGCGTTTGGTTGTGTGTGACGAAGTTTCATTCGACAACGCCCCGTGTCATTTTCACCTCAAGCGCCCCCGCCTCGTACCTCAACGTGATGGACTGGACGACGGTGCTTGCGCTGGACACAAACCAGTACAGCACCAGACCCTGATATCAAATTTCAAGAGAAAGGGCAACGGAAGATTGAGCACTCTGCAACTGCAAGCGCACCCTTGCTATCACGCACACACGCACATGTTTGCGAACACACACTCGAACTCGCTATCACACAACGCACACACAATCACACACGCACACACACACACACACACAATCACACACGCACACACACACTGTGACGAACTCGCTATCACACATCCCCCCACCTCTGCCACGGCGACTGACCGATGGCAGGGCGGCGTAGATTGGGAGCATGAGAACCGCGATGGACGTGAGCAGCACGGGAAACTGCGGCTCGCCCGCCTTTGCCGGCAGCGGTCGTGCAGGTTGCTGCTTCGAATCCGTTGGCGCCTTGGCTGATGTTGGTGCTGCTGTTGGTGTTGTTGTTGTTGCTGTTGGGGTTGCTGTTGTTGTTGCTGTTGGTGATGCTGGTGTTGTTGGGAGTGAGTCTGCATGTTGTTGGCCTTGGTGCTGTTGCCGTTGCTGGGGTGCTGGTGGTGCTTTGAGGTGCGGTGGCTGCCCCGGCCGTGGGCGCAGCAAGTACGTCAGCTAATGAAGCAGAGAAAGGGAGTACATCAAGAGTGAACGGAGAGATTTCACCAACTGCACAGACTCTAGACGCCAAAAATACAACCAGTTGCACACAAGCACACGCACGCACAAAACCCCTCCCACACAACACACACACACACACACACACACACACACACACACACACACACACACACACACACACACAAAAGAACGCACGCACATGCACACATGCACGCACAAAACCTCCCTCACAAGCACAAGCACAAGCACACTCACACACATGCACACACACAAGCTCACACACACAAGCACACACAAGCTCACGCGGAGCACCCGTTTTCACCTGCACGCTGATGAGGTTGGACAAGCACACGGCGATGGGCAGTGCAAGCGTGGTGTCCTGTGCCGTCAAGTCGAGGCACCAGGGCAGCCCTTCAGAGGACAACAGTTCTGTCCACGCTGACGGCTCACTCGGCGCGACGCAAACTTGTCGCACCCCTATGAAGGTTGCCGTGTGGGTTTGTGTTGGTTCACATGCGGCCACGACAAAACGCAGAACGCGTGTGGTGAGCCAACCAGCATGCGCAACACGGGGCAATACCCAGCAACACACATAAGTACAACGCACACGCGATGTGACTGAAAGCTGTGTTCCCTCACCAAGAGACATGAGAAGCCAGGCTGGAATGGGCGCGAATCCAACCCCGAGTATCCTCCATCGCTCCAGTCCTTTCGCATCAAATATCTCCTTTTGCTTCGCTTTCATCTGGTGGTTGCGTGACATGGTTGGGAAAAAGGGTGTGGGCGGCGTGTTGCTCGTCAATGCACCCGAGAACACGCACCCAAGAACACGCACATACCCGCACACACACACACACACACACGTACTCGCACACTCACACACTCACGCTCAAACACTCACACACACACACTCACGCTCAAACACACACACACACACTCACTGAGACGAGCACATACAAGTACAGTCATGTCCTGTACCTCTTTCTTGAGGAGATGGTCTGCCTCTTCTTGCTTCTTGCCCTGACGCCTACATTCCGCGTAGACCTTGAAGCGAAGCGCATCGGCCCACTCCCGCAAGGTTGGGCCCAGCAACTCTATTCTCGACCGGTACTCCTCAGATTTGATTGCCGGTGGTAACAACACACCGAGGCGCATGGCTGCCCCGACAGCACACACGCTCGCCCACCACGGCAAGCCCGTCGTAGATCGGACAAACACCAGTCCTTGCTCCACGGCGCTGATGGCCGTGTCCATCACACCATAATGTCGTCGCTGCCCACCACCACAAGAGCAGCACCACGTGCCCGTGCCAAGCAGCCCGCCGCGGCGCACACCCACGCTCCCATGCTGATGGAAGGTGCCAAGCTGTTGCCTGCTGCTGCTGCTGCTGTGGGAACCGTTAGCCACCCGCAACCACAACGAGGACTGCTGTCGTGTGTGCGGCAGTGTTCGTCGCCACATCAGCGATGTCATCACGCTCCGCTCGCTTGCTGAAATTCATGCAAAAATACCCACTATTTTCCCACAACCACAGAGATTTTGTGTGTGTGTGTGTGTGTGTGTGTGTGTGTGTGTGTGTGTGTGTGTGTGTGTGTTCGTGTCTGTGGATGTCTGTCTGTCTGTCTGTCTGTCTGTCTGTGTCTGTGTATCTACCATTTTGTGTGTGTGTCATGCTTCCTGAGACTGGCAACAGCAGCAGCAGAGGCTTTTCAATTCGTGACAGAAGCACCCACTTCCACCCAGTCTTCGTTGCCTATTAGTTACTGAAACCATCAGATCAATGAGATGGCTGTTCGTGGGTCAGTGGGGAGAGCAGCCGTTGTCTCACACGTGCCAGGTGAAGGGCCTTGTCAATGCTTGGCCTGAGCTTTCTCCATATCCGCTGCACCTGCTCCTCCACGCGCGCAATACCGTACTGGTGGGCAGTGGCAGCCCCTGTGTGCGTAGACGCTGCAACAGGAACAAACACAAACCAATACACACACACACACACACAAACACAAACACGCACACATACAAACACGCACACGCACGATGTGAGAGTGTGACTTGGCAAAGAAGAAGGTACAGCAATCCCCCATGTGAGGCAACAGCAGCTGCTTGCGTGTACCTGTAGGCAGGAGGGTGCGCTGTATGAGATCGTCGAGGGCAGCCACCACCTGCGGCGCCTGCGGTGTAAAGAAGCGGAAAGTGAGAAGCAAGTGAGGTGAGAAGCAAGTGAGGAGGTGAGAAAGAGATGAGGGGGAGGGATGAGAGGGGTGAGGTGAAGAGATGTGCAATGTTCAGATAACAACGTGATCAAATGCTCGTTCCAACAAAAACAGCAGCAGCGTGCGCAGACCACACCCTAGCCCAACCTCTTCCTGCAGCGTTGGCAGCGCTTCAAGGACATCCTAATACGCAGCAAATGCCAGCCGGTCAGAAGGTGACGAAGTTACACGTGGAAAGTGGATGGAAAAGAGACGCACACATGCATTGATGTGGTGCACACACACACACACACAACGCGCGCAATTGACGAACCTTGAGTGGAAGTGCTATCTCCTTCCTCAGTTGAAGAACAGCAGTGGACACCGTGTCCACCATCGCTGTCATGGCATCACATGTTGCCCTCTCCTGTATTCAACACATGCGTACACACAAACAAGCACATTCAACCAAGTGGAGACAAGGAGCGTTGGCTGATTGCGCCAGTGCGCAGCACCATCTTCATGACGCTGCAAGTGGTGGCACACTACGTACACTACGCACACATGCACGCACGCACATACAGATACACACACACACGCATACACACGCACACACACGCATACAACGCAACCTGAGCGTGCAAGGCGTGGCTGAGGATGGCGTTTGCAGTTTTGAGGTGAGCAATGGAGACGTGATCGCACAGCTGCTGGTAGTTTGCATGCCACAACACGCTATCAACAACCTGCTCATACTCCTGGTGGCACAGGGATGATCGTATGGGTGTGGTGGTCGGTGACAGTGCGCATGGTGGCAGTGAGGTCTGATTGGAGGGCGGAATGGGGGAAGCCAGTAAAGGGGCAAAGACACAACAACATGAGATGAACAATCAAAGCCAATAAAGGGCGGTCACACAAACCCGTGTACACAGCATTCACATGCACAACGTGCACGCGCAAGGAATGCAAACATAGATGTCACCTTTGGAGAAATGGTGGCAATGTGTTTGTGCCACTCCTCCAGTGAGGGGAAGAGAAAATAATACGCGGGAACGTCGACATAAATGTTCGCAGCACGTGTGTCCTCGGAACCAATACCAAAGTGAAGAAATCGCTCCAACAACAGCCCGCTCGCTTCACTGCCGCCACCGCTATCATTACCACTGCGTGGGCCACTCGGCCTCTCGCGTGTCGGCACGTCGTCGTGCCTGCAGGCATACAGCGGTGAGTGCGCCATGGTGCTGGAGCGGTGCGCGTGTGCGCGTGTGGCGGCGGCTTCAATGTCCCGCACACACACGCGGGGGCGACGGATGCGGGCGAGTTTGGGGCGGTGGGCAGCGGGAACAAGCATGGCTGTGGAGGAGAGGGCGTGCGCTGTCGAGTCGAGTTGGCGCAGGCATCGTGCCACCACGTCACTGTCACCCTCATCACTGATGTCACCATCACCACCACCATCACCACCATCACCATCATCATCATCGTCACCACTGCCACTGCCATCACCACCCTCATTGCCGTCACGAGTGCGAACGTATTCATGACAGCCGATTTCCGCTGCCGCCCGCGATATCCACACACGCGCACGAACAACTTCCTCCTCCTGTTGCGTGTGTGTGTGTGCGTGTGTGTGTGTGTGCGTGTGTGTGTGTGTGTGTGTGTGTGCGTGTGTGTGTGTGTGTGTGTGTGTGTGTGTGTGTACGTGCGTGTGTGCGTGCGTGCGTGCGTGCGTGCGTGTGTGTGCGCATGTGAGAGCTAGCGGGAGAGCGGTTGCCTAGTGCTAGAGCAGTGTGATCGTGTCCAATTAATCCAGTTGGCACGGACACGAACACATCTGCAGCGAAATGCGGAGCACGCCATGTGGGGTGGAATGAGCGGTGGTCAACACGGTGGTGCGCACCAGTCTGGAGATGTGCTGGAGATTGAGGTGGTCCAATTTGCTGTTGGTGCGATGAAGAGCACGGCGTGAGGACGGGGCAAGGGGCAGAGCGGTCACAAGCGGACGTACATGTACACGATGCACGAAAAAATAAACACACTCATGCACATTGAATACACACACGCACGCACGAACATGAACATGTATACAGGTTCACACACACACACATATTCACACATATTCACACATATTCACACACACACATTCACACACACACACACTTGCACGAGTGCGAGGACAGCACACGCACCCTGAACACATCTGCAGCACAGAAGCTGTAGCACCGTCGTCATTGTGATCGCCATCAGCGCTAGCGTCAGTGGCAGCAGCGGGCTGTGCTGGCGCGTGGACATGAATATGTTTCTTCTGCAGTTTCACGCGGCCTGGGTATCAACGTACACGGATTGGGATTGTGTGTGTGTGTGTGTGTGTCGCAGTGTTATTGAAGAGGCTGCAATGAGAGTGAACCATTGAAACGCGCACACGGAACACACACATACTCACAAACATGTCACAAACATATCACACACACACACAAACACATGTAAACACCCGCATACACGCCTGCATGTGCACAACACCTTGCGTGTGTGTTGGAGGCGTCCAATAAACAGTCGGTGGCGATTTCGTGTCGAGTGCCCGCATCTCCGCCACCACACGCTGCATGCGATGGACCTGCATGGTGGTGTCGATGATGGTGGATGTGGTCGGTAGTGAGGGGGGTGGTGGCATGAGCTGGTTGATGGTTGCTCTCAAGGTTTGATGTGAATGGGTGGCTGCAATTGCACGTCGACCCTCTCGCACACACTCACACGCATCTCTCGCGCGCACCTTCTGCATGATAAAGCGAGTTTGTGCGTCCTTGTGTCCACCACCATCACCGCCGTCATCATGACTGCCGCCGTCGTGCTTGCGGACATGTGGTCCAGTTCGTTCTCGAGCGATTGCATCTGGTCCTCCCGCGATTGCACGTGTCGCAGCAGTCGCAGCAGCTGCACAACCTACACATTGCAGGCATTGTGTGTGTGTGTGCGTGTAAGTGAGTGTGTGTGTGTGTGTGCGTGCGCGTGAGTGAGTGTGTGTGTGTGTGTGCGTGTGCGTGTGTAGTTTATCAGCGTGCAGCATAACGACTATTCCCTCTTATGCGCCTGAACACACAACCCGTTCTACACACACACACACACACACACACACACACACACACACACACACACACACAACACACACACACACACACACACACAACACACACACACACACACATTAGCATCCCCTCTGTGCACCTGCTCTTGAAGGGCGAGGTTCTGCTGCTTGTACATTTCCACGCGTTGCAGTAGCAAATCCTCGTCCAGCGCAGACCGCCGCCGTTGTCGCGGTGTGCGCTGACGATGTCGATGATGGTGGTGGTGATGATGCTGGTGGTCGCTGTGATGGTGAGGAAGGGAGGGGGAGTCGGGGTGGTGAAGGGAGGGGGGATCAGGGTGGTGGTGGTGTTGCCGGCGTGATGACCGTGCATCTGCCGTGTCCTCGCTCGCCACATGGGGCTGTGATCGCGTGTGCAGTTGGGGCGCGCGTGGTGGGCGCTTATGAGACGCTGGTCGAGATGAACAATGCCGATGCTGTCGCTGTTTGCGTCCCTCATTACTGACATCGCCACCATGACTGCCAACACCTGCACTGCCACTTCGCTCCTGCTCCTCGTGGTGCTTCTGCTGCTCGTGCCTGGCAGGTGTTGATACTGTTGATGACGCTGGCGTGTGCGCGCTGACCCCACGTTGCTCGACTTCATCCAGTAACCAGTGCATGAACCTGTGCACATGCACACACGGTATGTGAGACCATGCTGTACTCGCATCTTCCGCGCTGACGCCACAGGAAAAAGCGCGCGCACAAACGCATACACGCACACCTCATGACGTCTGCAACAGCAGATGGTTTCGTGAAAGTGGCTGCGTTCATCGGGTAAGCCTTGCCACGAACTGTTCGCATTGATTCCAACAGCAGTGATGCCCACGCGTGCCGAAACTCAGCCTCAGCCTGCTCCCTCACTGCCTGTGGCTGTGCCTGCAGCAGTGGCTTTCGATCCTCATACACTCTGTGTGTGCATGTGTGTGTGTGTTTTGTGTGTGTGTGTTTTGTGTGTGTGTGTGTGTGTGTGTGTGTGTGTGTGTGTGTGTGCGAGGGAGCAAGTTTGAGTGCGAGTGTGTTTGCATGTGCATGGTGATGGGTGCGTGTTTGCGAGTAGGAGTGCATGCCCAAAAGCAAAACAACTCGAACATGGCCACGCACCGCTGGACAGTGTGGAGGTTGGTGGCCGAGGCTGGATCGAGGCGCTCCATGATGCTAGTGAAGAGCCTGACGCGGTCACCCCAGTCCAGCTTTGCCAAGCGCTCCACAGCTGGCGAGCGGATGTGCACGCTCTTCAGTCGTCGCTTCAGCCGCCCAGCCATCTCTGCCTGTGTCTTGGCAGTTGTACGAGCAGTCCTATCGGTAGTCCTATTTGTCCTATAAATAACACCAAATTCATTTCCGCACCCACGCAAGCCCAACACAACACAACACTCCAACAACACGCACCACAAGAAGCAACACCCACGCCATCATCACCAGACGAGACGCACTCACATCAGCAAACAGAAGCAAGCCGTTGTTTGGGCGTGTGAGGTGCTGACAATCCCGACGGAGTGCGTTTACGACACACCCTCACTGACGAAACGAGCGCGCCACAGGCAGGATGCACGGCGGGAGCAGCAGAAGATGGGCACAAGGTGAAGAAGGTGAAGAGGACAACAACATGGAGGACAGCGGCGCACCACACGGTGTGGTGAGCGCAAACACGCTGCTGCTGGACGTCGACGATGACGACGACGACGAGTTCCACGATGCTGCGGGGGACGAGCGCAGGCCCCTGCTTGGCAGCACGTTGGTTGACTTGGGAAGCACTGCCAGCTTGAATCGGACATCGCCGCCACACGATAGCAACGGGACGCGCTCCAACGGGAGCGGTGGCGAGTATCGCATGCAGGACCTGCACGACAGCAACGCTGGCGAGGACATCATCGCCTTTGATGAGCAGCCACGTCAGGCCCTGACATCCCTGTCTGCGCGCAGCAGCAGCTTCACCTCCGAGGCCCGCTCCACGCCGAGCGAACACAAGAACGGACACGCCGCACACCACAACTACCCGACCAAGCAAAAGCAATACTGGCACTTTTCCTCCTCAAACCACAGCCGAAACAGCGGCAGCATCCACCAGGCCGCACGTGCAGATGACGGCGGCGACCAGTACGTCCACCGCCTGCGCAGCGACACGATTGCGGACGCGGAGCGGGAGCAGGATGTGGTGATATCGCTGGAGCGCCTTGAGCATGAGCTGGAGCACCTCCGAGCGCTGTGTGCGCCGCAAAAGGGCCCCGACGCCGAATCATCCGTCGATCTCTCCTCCAAGCGCCGCCGCCGTAGGCGCTGGCTCAGCAAACGCGTCACACACCGCCTGCTCCTCATGACCCTCATCTGGCAGGTGTGTGTGTATATGTGTGTGTGTATGTGTATATGTGTGTGTGTGTGTGTGTGTTGTAGCTTGGGTATTGGTTCGACCAGACCGCCATGTGTCTCGTATGTTGAATCTTTCGCCACGTACAACTTACCAAACTACACACACATACACACACATACACATGCGCAGCTGTTGAACATTGGCATCTTGACGCTGCTTGACCGACGGATTCCGCAGGAGAAGATCCAGGACCATTTTCTTGGGGATCCGGCCGTGCTGGCTGGTGTCATCATCATGGTTGTCTTCCAGACAATCCACATGACCATCATTGTCATCGCATCCATCAAGCTCGGCAAACAAGTGCGTGTTTGTGTGTGAGTGAGAGAGTGAGAGAGAGAGAGTGTGTGTGTGTGTGTGTTTTTTTGTGTGTCTGTGTTTGCTTGTTTGCTTGCTTGTTTGTCTGTTTGTCTTTTTGTTTGTTTGTTTGTGCGTCTGTTTGTTTGTTTGTCTGTTTGTTTGTTGTTTGTTTGTGCGTCTGTTTGTTTGTTTGATTGCTTGTATGTGTGCGTCTGTGTGTCTGTGTGTTTGTGTGTTTGTGTGTCTGTGTGCTTGTGTGTCTGTGTGTCCGTGTCTGTGTCGCAGTGCGCCCATTCCCGTACGCTTGCCTACAGTATGAGCACACCCTGCTGCATCCTCACGTTTTGAGCACGTGCCACTCGTACTTGTGTGCGGACAGATTCTCCACCACACAGCGTCCAACTCCTTCCTCGTGCAGTCGTACCTGTCCACCATTGTGCTGTATGCGGGCGTGTACACGCTCCTTTTCCGCATCGACAAAAACACATTCCAGGGCGTAGAAGAGAGCTTGGTGAGTTCTTACTTGTGTGCACGTGCGTGCATGTGTTTGTGTGTGCTGGTACAAGTTTGTGTGTTGTTTCTGCTTTGGCCAAACAACACTTCCTCTGTGCATGTGTGCGAGCTGTGTGCATGTGTGCGAGCTGTGTGCAAACGTTTGCGGGTGTCATGATGAAAGCTGCTCTGCACCCTCACACATGATGATGCAAATTCCCCGTGACATTGACAGGAATCCGTGTCCTCCAAGGGATTCATTTTCCTCTGCTTCATGAAATTCGTCTACTTCTCTGTCGCCACCATGACCAGCACAGGCGTACGTAACAGCGCGTGTGGGGGCGTGTGGTGTGGTGTGGTGTGGTGTGTGTCTGTGTGTGTGTGTCTGTGTGTGTGTGCATATTTAACCTGTTCCTCCTCCCCCCTCTCAATTCCATATCTCACGGATGCCTTGCATGTGTGTGATGTGCTTCACAGTATGGTGACATTACGCCAAAGACGTGGTACATGGACGCAATCGTTAGCTCACAGGTGCGATGCTCTAACACACAAACGCAAACACGTCCACGCACGCACGCACCCGTGCTCAACATCTGTGTTGCACCTATCCTCCATCATCAACAACACCATTCATTAACTCAACGCGTGTGCATGTGTCCATGTCTCTCTCCATTCAGATGCTGATCAGTATCGTGTACACAACGAGTATCTTTGCAAAGGGCCTCACCGTCATCGCAGGTGCCTGTTTGTTTGTTTGTTTGTTTGTTTGTTTGTTTGTTTGTTTGTTTGTTTGTTTGTTTGTTTGTTTGTTTGTTTGTTTGTTTGTTTGTTTGTTTGTTTGTGGTTGGTGTTTGCTTTCTTTTCCGTGTCTGCGCTTCATGCTTGTTGTCCGATTGCAAATCGATGTGCAGCATAATCTCCACACACACACACACACTCCCTCACTCACTCACTTTCACACATTCACACATTCACACATTCACACATTCACACATTCACTGACTCATACATACACGCTCGCACAATCCCAATCCTCGTCTCTCCAGGGTCCAAGGCGCACTCGGCGCTGGTTGAGTTGACTGGAGCCGAGGGCATGAAATCGCGAGCGAACACGCTGCAGCCACGCGCCATCAACAGCGGTCGTGGCGATGGTGATGGTGATGGCGATGGCGATGATAGCGCACGCGCGTCGCAGGCGTAGAGGGATGGGATCGGAGTCATGTGGGGTGCGTGGTGATGGTGATAGGGTGATGGGGTGATGGGTTGTGTTGTACTGGCAATGACTGATGCTGTGGTCGGTGGCGGCGGTCGCAGCGATTGTGGTGATGGTGGTGGTGCATGGCAATGTCAACGAGCGCTGCTGATAGCCATCTCGCTTCGGAACTGATTGTGAAGAGCACACACAAGTATTGCCGGTGCATGTTTTTGGTTGGTTGATTGGTTGGTTTGATCGATGGATCGATGGGTCGATGGATGGAGTGTGGAAAAAGGACTTTAATGAACACCCTATTGTAACCATGTGTTAAATTTCATTGCCCTTGTTGATATCCCCATGTGGATGTGAGACTTTGTTGCTTTGCTGTCGCTTTGTGGCCATGGTCGTGTGTTTAGATTGGCTGCTTTGTGTGGGCACGCATGTGTGTAGTATTCACACGTGTGCGTGTGTGCCCTCCCGTTTCCTTGCTTGTGCTTCTGCATGATTGTTGGCTATGCAGTCTGACGTGTGTATGGAATAGACCTTTCATCACTTTGTCGACCACCTTGGATGCAAGAAAAACATGTTGCAGCGATAAACGTGTCGCAGTGGGCGGGAGCACACACACACACATCCACTCACACACACACACACTCTCTCACACACACACACTCTCTCTCTCTTCCTCTCTCTCTCAGCGCGCGCACACGACTACATGCACACTGGCAACTGATCATGTCACTGCGCAAATCCGCTCTCCACAACTTGTATTCCAAATGGCGCTGATGATGATGACGATGATGGTGGTGGTGGTTTGTCCGCTGCTGCGTCCTCACCACTCGCAACCACAACAATGCCAAACGGCCCAGCGTCACCACCGCCATCGTCGCTGCTGTCATGTGTTGCAGCGTGATCGTGGCTGCGGGCAGTTGAGGAGACACCAAGCTGCTGCTGCTGCTGCTGCTGTCGACTCGGAATCGGGCAGCACAGGTTGTAGTGCGACCCTACACCAAATTGTGTACGTGTGTGTGTGTGTGTGTGTGTGTGTGTGTGTGTGTGTGTGTGTGTGTGTGTGTGTGTGTGGGTGTGTGTGTGTGGGTGTGTGTGTGTGGGTGTGTGTGTGGGTGTGTGTGTGTGTGTGGGTGTGTGTGAGCCCACAGCCATCACACAGCATCGCCAACAGTGTCAAGAGTTCCATGTCCATCCAGCACATGCCGTGCGCGCCTACAGCACCTGCTTCAAATGAGGACAGCGGGCGCCAGCTGAGCCACCGCTTCTTGAAGAGATGAGAGAGAGCGGCATCGACACATGTACACATGCGCCGCTCGTCCTCCTCGCCGCGGATGAAGTGCGGATCCTGTTACAGTCGCCAGATTGGAACAGCGTCAGAGCCAAAAGCACGATGCGTGGTGTGTGTGTGTGTGTGTGGTGGTGTGTGTGTGTGTGTGGTGGTGTGTGTGTGTGTCTGTCTGTGTGTGTGTGTGTGTGTTTGTGTGTGTGTCTGTGTGGCTGGCGTGTGTGTCTGTGGGTGTGGGTGTGTGTGTGGGTGTGTCTGTGGGTGGGTGAATGACTGCGCGCTGGCACGTTCATCAACTGCGCGTGCGCACCATGATCAAGAGTCGGGTGTCCTGCATGACGTCATCGCCGCTCTCCACACCGAGGATTGCACGTGACATGTTGTCCCGTGTGCCACCTGTTTGATACGGCATTGATGATGGCGGTGGCGGTGGTGATGGTGATGGGGATGGCAAGGGCTAGCACGCACAACATGTACAGCACGCACACACGTGCACACAACACACACACACAGTATGCACACACGCGCACACAACACACACACAGTATGCACACACGCGCGCACCACGCTCCTCTCTCCCAAAAACGTGTTTGGTTGTGTGTGGACTCACCACACATGATGGGGGATCCCACGTGCTGGAAGTGGTGCTCCAGCTTGTCGATAAATGCTTGCGACCACGCTTCCTTCCCAGACGGCAGCTCGATGATCCGAAAGTCCACCTACAGTAAAACAAGGGGGATGGTGAGCAAGTGAGCGAAGGGGTGGGCAAAGCCGCACGGCACGTGTGCGTGTGTACAGGCGCGTTTGTGTGAAGCTGAAAGAACACAGCCTCAAGGCTAAACACAGCAGCAGCAACGACACGGCCCCAGCAGCTTCTCCGCGCCCCAGGCACTCGCACCGTCTCTGTTGTCCACAACTCACGTCACACCAGGCCTGGAGTACACGGCCTGCCTCGACTGTTCCAATCCACTCTCGCGACCCTCGAAACGCCGGTGGCTTCTCCCCTTCGCTCACGAGCGTGTCTTGAATTTGAGGGATAGTTGGCGGCGTCCTGTCAACGTGCGGGACGTGTCACATAGCGTGAAGTGAAGGCTGCGTTGTGAGAACTGCACACTGTGTGTGTGTGTGTGTGTGTGTGTGTGTGTGTGTGTGTGTGTGTGTGTGTGTGTGTGTGTGTGTGCGTGCGTGTGTGTGTGTGTGTGTGTGTGCGTTGTTTGTGATGAGGGTGAGGCGAGAAAGGGGATGGCGCTTACAGACCGACCTTTGGCAATGCCCTTGAATGTTCAACCAGGACACCAAGCTCTGCAGCGTCCGGTATCCACAGCCCCAGCCCTACAATTGCACACACAACATGGCAAAAGTGAGAGATGGGCTTGGTGCACGTGCGGGGCAGGGAGCGTTCATGCATGCTATCGCACGGATGCATACACACATGCACACAATCAAACGGATGCATACACATGCACACAATCAAACGGATGCATACACATGTACATACATGCACACGCACACACACATGCACACACACATGCACACATAAATGCACACACACGCACGCACATGCACACGCACACACACACATGCACATGCACAAACACGCACATGTTCCCACATTCGCACATGCTCACCGCGTCACGGGTGTCGTCGATGTGATAGTGCCAGTAGTCCACGGCACCTTGGAAGCCAACAAAGTTGCCATCCCCGCCACTGCCATTCAAGCGCCCGCTGGCCCGCCGCAACTGCTCTGCCGTCACCCGCAACAACAACCGCGGCGCTGCCTGGGACTGCTGCGCTGCTGTTGCACCATCATCACCACCAGCATCCCGCGCCTCCATCGTCATCCACCAGCAGCAAGCAAAGAAATAAGTGTGTGTCGTTGTTGCTGTTGTCGTCAGTGTCGTGTAGTTTGTGTTTGCTGACTGTGCGCAGAAATCGAAGGTCGCAGCAGCATGCTTGTTGACACAATAATGCGAGGGGCCGGCGTTTTGGTGGTGGTGGTGGTGGTGATGGTGGTGGTGCTTGCACACAGCAGCATGAGTGAGGTGGTGCTGGTGGAAGATCAGCGTGGTGGGTTCCACATCAACACCAGCGATCCATTGAATGAACCCGTGTTTGTGAATGGGATGGACGTTGGTCAAGTGGGCAACGAGGTGTTGGCGCTGCGCAGCATGGTGTCAACACAGATGAGCATGCTGGAAGCGCAGCAGAGCAGGCTTGAGGAGCAAGAACGTCTCACATGCTTCCTCACTGCCACGGACACCACCTCCATGGCCTACGTTGGCACCGGCAACAATGACTGGATTGGCGGCGTTTTGGCCAACACTGGACTCATCTATGGCATTCCACATCGCTCAACCTCCGTGCTAATCATCGACCCTGCCACCAACACCGCTGACACCACCACGATCACAGGCCTGGAAACAGGAGGTGACAAGTGGGGCGGTGGTGTACTGACTGACAACGGCCTCATCTACGGTTTTCCGCACACTGCGGTGTCTGTGCTCATCGTTGACCCACACACGAACACCATCGACAACACCACCCTCGATGGACTGCCATCTGACGGGGGCAAATGGATCAGCGGCGTGGCTGCCGACAATGGCCTCATCTTCGGCGTGCCCTGGAGTTCTTCTTCTGTCCTCATCATCGACCCAGCAGCCAACACCACAGACACCACCACCATCGCTGGGCTTGAAGGAGATGAGAAGTGGTACGGTGGCGTGCAAGCCAGCAATAACCTCATCTACTGCATTCCAGTCAACGCTGAGACTGTGCTCATCATCGACCCATCCACCACCACGTCAGACACCACAACAATCGCTGGCCTGACAGGCAATGGCGCGTGGTATGGCGGCGTGCTTGCTGGCAACGGCCTCATCTATGGCATCCCATACAAATCTACGGCCGTGCTCATCATCGATTCAGCAACCAACAGTGCCGACACAACGTCCATTTCCGGTCTTGCAAGCAACTACTACAAGTGGAGCGGCGGTGTGCTGGCGCCCAACGGCCGCATCATCGGCATCCCACGTGATGCTGCATCCGCACTCATCATCGACCCAACCACCAACACCGTCCACACCACGTCGTTGCCTGTTCCAACTGGAGCCCGCAAGTGGTTTGATGGCGTTCTCGCCAGCAACGGCCTCATCTATGGTTTGCCATGGAGCGCAGCACACAGTGTCCTCATCATCGATCCTGGCTGCTGAGGGCAGAGGCGACCGTGGCGTTCTGCACCCTGTTAGCCACGCTCCCTGCTTGACCTGCTTGACACGCATGCAAGTGTCACCTCGCTTTGTTTGTTTCTCGTGGCATTTCATTGGCTATTGCTTGACTTCGTTGTGCTGTGTCCCACCCCTCCACGCACATTTCTTGTCATCTGCACCCGTCATTGCGCTGTGACGTGGTGCCACTTTCTCCTCATCATACCTCTGCCTTTCTGTTGAGTTGCAGAGCGATCCAATTCTTCTGCTCGTTACATGATCGTGGTGACATGACTACTGTGTTCCGGCCCGCGCTGCCTCCTTTGAGAAGACTCCCACTGCCCAATTGAACGCGTTGTCACATTGCAGCAAGCATGATGGGGGTCGCGATTCGCATGTGTCTGTGTGTGTCTGTGTGTGTCTGTGTGTGTCTGTGTGTCTGTGTCTGTGTGTCTGTGTGTGTGTGTGTCTGTGTGTCTGTGTGGCTGGTCAGTGACTCAACAAGAAAGCAAGTTGAACCTGAATGATTTATACATTCAAACACACAAACGAGTGACAGCGATGATGGACGAGGGTGGTGACAGCTTCGCTGCCGGGGTGGCAGACGACGATGATGGAACGCGGCTGT